AGTTCCCCGCAAATTTTTGTCGCTAACAGCACTGCTTTTTCCGGCAGATGCTTCTTGTTAAAAGAATTTCAGACTGATCGCCAGGACTGTCAGGAGACGCCCCTTCAAATTTTCAGTCTTCTAACTTTTCAGGTTCCCGAGTTCACCCGAAAAAAATTTTCACGAGCCCGTACGTGGATAGCACGCATCCTGAGGGTCGGATTTGAGCTCATTGAGACTTACGTGGACAGGGAACATCATCTTAAAGTTTCAGCTTTCTAGCTTTTCTGGTTTCCGAGTTAGCGACTTACCCGCAAAAAAGTTTCATGGGCCCATATGTAGGTACCACGCGGATAAAAGCGCCCATTTTGGGGACTGAGGCCAGTACGTGCATGTAGATTAAGTTCCCAAAGTTCCAGTCCCGTATCTTCTGTAGGTCTAAAAATGAAAGACTGTGACAGACGCGCGCGCACGCACACACACATACGCACACAACCCCTCGTCAATATGCGTTTTCTGCATTCCATAGCTTCAAAAAACGCATAAAACGGAGCCATTACAGCCAGAGAGAGAAAGTCGTCGAAAGCATCTCAAGTTTATAAGAAGCCGGCAGCAGATACTTTTGCCTCTCGGCAACATGTTGGTGATAGCGGAAAATCAAAATAATTTCAGGTTGTTTTGGTTTTTCAGATTCAGTGCCAAAAACGACAGCGGCAGCGAACGACGTTGCAGCACGCAATTATTGTGTTGCTGATGATACCTGTGAAGTCCAGGTAAGCGCTGGGGATTCTGGATCCTGTTTTCCTAGCCCAACAAGATCCAGCGAATTTAGTTTAATCAGTTCTGGTTTGATATCGCCTAGCAGACCAGTTTCCGGATTGGTTTTTTCCTGCCAGTTGATAAACATGTTTTGTGAACCGAGTGCTGACTGTGAGAGCCGCAAGAAGGAAGATTACCCGGGAAGCTTTGAGATTGCGTTTCAGCTTCCTGGAGCAGTGTCACGATTCTCAAACAGCGATGGCAGCAGTGACATCCCACAGAAAATTCCCCGAAGGAGTACTGCAGTC